ATAAATGAATAAAAAAAAAAAAAAAGAAAAAAATTTGCAGGATTTTTAAAGGTATTGGGGGAAAGATAGAAAAAAGAGCAAGAAAGGGGGTAAATACAACCAAAGTAAGTTATATGCATATATGGAAATGTCATGATGAAACCTCCACATTGTACAATTAATACACAATAATAAAAATGAAAAGAAAAAAAATTAGAGATAAGGGCAAAATAGTTTCTGCTGGGTATTGAGGGGGTGGGGGGAAGAGGGAGGGGGCGGAATGGGTGGTAAGGGAGGGAGTGGGGGCAGGGGGGAGAAATGACCCAAGCCTTCTATGCACATATGAATAATAAAACAATAAAAAAAATACAGTGCTGGTTATAATACAAACAGTACTGAAAGACAACCTTATAGCCACTGACAGACAAAAATTAAAAAGTAAATTTTAGGTGCTTATAGGTAATAGTGCACTGTACATTTAAGAAAGAATTTTGAACATTTTCACCATAAACAAATGAGCCGGGTACCAGTGGCTCACGCCTATAATCTTAGCTACTCAGGAGGCACATATCAGGAGGATGGAGGATCAAAGCCAGCCCAAGCAAAGAGTTCACCCGACTCTATCTCGAAAAAAACCCATCACAAAAAAGGACTCAAGGTGAAGGTCCTGAGGTAAAACCCCAGTACCACACACACACAAAAAAAGAAACAAAAGAAATGATAGGACCAGGGATATACCTTAGTGTACCTTAGTGGTAGAGCACTTGCCTTAGCATGCCCACCACAGGTTGGGGGAGGGGGGGTAGGTGGGAGATGATAAATGTCTGAGTGGATGTTTAACCTGATTTAAATGTTACACAATGTGTAATACATACACGCACACATACACACACACATATATATATACCAAAACATTACATGGTACCCCACTATGTACAACTTTTATATTATTACATACCAGTTAAAAATAAATGTAGAAAAACTGCAGTTTAAAAAAAAAAAAACATGGTTACTCCTTTTATCTTTTTATCTTCCTATATATATTATGGTTTTCTACATAAGGCATCTGCTAACCCACTCCTACCATATATGTACATGATAAAATAATACAGACTTAATGTGACATATTAAGAGCAGTCTCCATTCAAACAAAGAGATTTCCTTTTTCCTTCCAGCAAAAAGGCTCATAGAATAATCTTTTACAGGAGTTGAAGAATAACTTGTGTTCTTGTAGACTACTAGTTTCAAAGTCCACTGAATCAGAATCCAGGACTCTAAGACAGTATTAAACTGGCTCAGGAACTAAATAGTAAGTAACCTTCATCAAGTAATTCAATCTTCATGCCTTCATTCCTCCTTCAGTGGAAATATGGAATGCTTTAGGGCAGTGGATTTTTAAACTGTGTTCAAAGAAGCTGCTTTTGGAGCACTGCAGGGGTGAAGGGCAGGCCAGGTGACTAGGACCTGCCAATTCTCCCAGCATGGAGACATTTCTCCCCTTTATATATAATAGTATTCTACTTGAGATTTTATTTAAAAAGCATTCTGCTATTACAAAGTAAGGTTCAAGTGCTCTCCATGGATCCTCAGCTCTATAGCTATATGCAGTATACTTCATTTGTGAAAGATGTAATCAATTTTACATGAACTCCACAATTAACATTCATTAACATCTTTGTTTAGGATAATCTAACCCCCTCCAAAAAAAAAAAAAAAAACTACCAATGGGGACATTCTAGAAATTATCAATTTGGTAAGCTCCCCTATATAAGTGACTGCAAGAGCCAGGTAGCAATAGAAACAGGAGTATCACCTTTGTACCCTGGACACCAGAAGCAATGACAGCAAGTGATGACCAAAGGAAGCATCCAGGCACTCAAGTAAAGACTAACAAAAAGCCAGAAACCTCTTCTAAATGGAGTGTATCACAATTAAACTTGTGCCTCAGGAAGAGAATACATTTTCTCCCCTCCCAGCAGAGTCTAAAAATAAGGCTCTTACAATTTCTCTTTTGAGGGCTAGAAACTTTTTCTTCTACATCAGTCCCAGAATGGCTTGTCTTGCTGCAGAATGATAGTTTCAAAGACCACTAAATCAGATGTATCGAGATGCAAATTCTAGTAAAGTCTGTCTTTACCCTTTTTCCCACCCCAATTACTAAACCAGTCCAGCACACGCAGTCCATCCAGGAGGACATCTACCAAATTTCAGCAGCAGAGGATACACACAACCACACTGCATGTTCAACTAAGGTGAATGACAGTGCTATGTGTTACCACACGCACAAGTTTAAACTATTCAACAATATCATCCAGACATTCTCTCTACACTTTTAGGCTTCACATTCTAAGATCCTGACTTGAAAATTATAATGCTCAAAAATACATTAATAATTTGTCTAACAGATATATGAAACAAATGCACTCAAATTGGCACACCAATAATTAACCTTAAACACATTGGCAAAGCTACTTGACTACAAATATATTCAATGTAGAAACTGGTTCAAATGTAAGTAGTAAAAATCTATACCTACATTTTGTATGATTTACCTATTAAGGCTAAGAATTCAGCATAGAGTATCAATTATGCTCAAATACGAGCCAAAATTATTTCTCAAAAAAGAGGTAGTAGCCCAGATACAATGTCTCAAGCCTGTGATCCTAGCTACTTGGAAGGCAGACATCAAGAGGATCATGGTTCTAGGCCAGCAAGGACAAAAAGTTCATGAGATTCCCATTTCAACCAATGGCTAGACATAGCAAGGTATAACTGTCATTCCAGGTAGATGGGAAAGCACAAATAAGAGGATCATAATCCACACTGGCCCAAGCATAAAGCAAGATCCTGTATCAAAAAAAAAAACAATGTAAAAAAGGGCTGGTGGTATGGCTCAAGTGGTAGAATGTCTGCTAGCAAGTTCAAGACCATGAGTTCAACCCCAATACCACAAAAAAAAAAAAGGTAGTTTCCTGACATTTTAGTGTTTACAAACTCATTCTTAGGATAGATTGTTTTCTGAATTTTCTTACTTGTTAATAAAATAAAGCAAAAGAGGAGAGAAGAAATTAACAATGAGAATACGGTATTGTTTGGCTTGATGGCAGACAGTAAGAAATTATGCCTTGAGTCCCAAAGTAAAATTCATTCTTAGAGGAGCATGGCTCACTGGAGTCCTTACTGACTGGCTAAGAACTGTTCAAAAATTGAAAGAACTGGAAAAATCTCCAATAGCTTTAATCAATACTCATTTGGGAGGCTTAGAGATACCCACACAACAAAATAAACTTAAAAGGTAGCAATTAACTTTAACACTTTTTTGGAATTAGTCCCAAAGGGTATGACCTCATTTAATGCTGTACACAGCTTTTTTGTGTAATAATCACTTTAAATATCAAGTTAGACATTAGATAGTAAGAATAAATGTAATTCCACAGACTAAGTGACAACAAAAATTGTCCCCTTGTTTTGCAAACTATAAAATATATAAAACTTCCAGTATCAGTCTCATGCATGAATTCAAGAAGAGCCATATTTCTAGCAGTATACGCTGAAGTACCTATCGTGTGCTCTCTGTATACTATCCACTCAGCTTTTCTGAAAATTCGGTGTTCTAAAAAATAAAAAATTTTTATTTTATATTCTAGAGAATTATTGAACAGACTCAAAAGCACAGCTAACAATAATCACTAATATTGCAAGTACAGAACATCTAAACAGGGATAGCTCCATGGTAGAGCAGCTGCTTATCATGTACTACACAATGGCAAACCAAACACAAGTCTGAATAAAACTGCTTCATGACACAAATGGATAAAAAGTGGTACTCCTAAATTAACACAGAAATTTTTGAGTTTAAATATATTTGTAACTAACAAGAAATCAAACATCATAAATAGACTTTGACTATTTCATCTATATCCACAAAGCTTACATGTTCAAGATGTCATAAGATTTTAATCTTTTCTTTGGGAAATTAGGGGGCTTATAATCAGGGCTGCCTTATGCTTAGGTTCATAAAATATCTTAAAATGCAAACTGAATCTGAAAAGTTCCCATACACAACAACAAAGCAAAGCACCCTAACAAAAAATAGGAAAGAAAGAAAAAAATTCTCTGATCAATAACTCCACTAGGAGACTGTAAGAAGCTATTTTACCCTCACCATTGGCTGGTAGAACTGTTCCTGGGATTAAAGAAAGTTAAAGTTTAAAAATCTGGCAAACAAC